AGTACGACAAGACGACGAGCGAGAGACGAGAGAGAGAGAGANGAGACGAGAGAAGGAGANGAGAGAGAGAGNGAAGAGAGGAGAGAGAGAGAGAGAGAGAGGAGGAACCTGGCAAATTCTGGGGTTCTGGAATCCCATACCCGTCAATTCCAAACTTACTCAGTGATTTTGCATCAGCCACTTGAGATGCAAATGACTTACTGCACCTGGGAAATGTTCTTCAGACATTTATGGATGCTCTAAAACTTGCAAGATGAAAACATATAGCACTACGCAAGAGGCTCAACCAATCTAAGGCATGCATGTCATTGAGTTAAGGAAAACAGGGCTCCGTAATAAGAACAACATAGATTCAAATTAGGCTTAGGTTTGCGTTGTTTTTGGGAAGGGGTTATAATCTTCTACTTCATCATCATCATCCGAGTCTTATCCTAATATTAAGCGTGTGGTTTGTATAAGGTTGAGGCCCTAAATAATCAAACTAGAGTTCACCTTCAAATAGTGTCAAAACATTTTATTTCAGAATAAGAGTGTTTTACGATGGCCTGAAATTTATTTTCATCTCTAATTATAAAATTTAAAGTTCAAAAACAACCAAGCGTCCAATGCAACCGACAGGATCAGGTCAGTAGCATAAGACTGATTAGAAGGAAGAGACTGAAAACTCACCAGTGGGTGAAGGGTGCCAAACTATTTTATCTCTTCCCTGTCGAGGAATGAACTGGGACTCTAGCAAGGTCACTAAATACGGAAGTTTGTCTAGGGGATGTTTCTCCTAAACTGTGTGACAACACATTTTGACCATTCAACAACTTATGGGATTGGGATATCGGTACATCTTGATCTAAAAGCAATAAGGAACAGGCTTGCGCATTTGGCGCTAATGGGTTTTTTCACCCAGAAAAGTATCTTTCCGAAACCTGATACAATTCCCAGCTTTTGCAGCAAAATAAATCCTAAAAGCCACATCGGATGTAATAAACCCATTTCTATGCACTGGAAGCCCAGGCATTTGCAGTACCCATGGTATCTAGTGTGACTCATTCAGCCCATACCTGTGAATGATAACCTGCTTCCAGTGGTGCCCCTCTTGGGTGGTCAAGTACCACCACCACTTGCCCAAGAGGGGGGAGTGTTCAGGTTTCTAATTCCTAAATCACACTTTTTGAGGTTCACACATTGTTTGTCATCTAACTAGATGGAATTGTGTGACTCTCCTTCACCTGCACATAAAAACTCCCTCATTACTAACTACGGTCACTTGCAATCGAAACAGGAACGGCTAGGACCCTGGGATGTTTGAGAGGGTAGATTTTAGGAGAGTTAATAATACCACCTATACAAGAACTTTCAAGACAGTTAGTCTGTATTCAAACCTTTCAACTACCCTGTCCTATTTGGCTATTGGAAGGTTCACCCAAGTAGAGTGGAAGGCCCAAGTTTTAGTTTGGGGTGGTGTCCATGCCACAGCCCAGTCGTTTGGCTAGGACCAAGGTAGTGTCCATGGGAAGATCAACCCCTAACATCTTGGTTTTGGACATAGCGATTTTTAGGCTGGCATCCAGTTTGAGACATTTGAGAAACAACCAATTGTTTTTGACTTCTTTGGGGCATCATGAGTGAGTCATCTGCATATTGAAGGCATGAAATTGTGGGACACCTTGGGGATGTGCTAAAGCCTTTGAGTAGACTTCGGTCGTATAAGCTAGATTTGGAACTCCTAAATATTTCAGCAACTATGGTGGTCTTTGGTCTTGGCCGAGGTCTACAATTCTACCATGAATTTATTTTATTTTCTTTTGATAATGTTAACTGTAATTTTAACATGAATTTCTTCCTCGAAAAATGGGCATTCTAGGGAGAAATTGGAAGTTAAGATTGAGGATCCTAGACCTAGGGGTAGTTTGGGCAGAAAAGAGTTTCTTGAAACAACAAATCATGATTTGGTCAACATCTTGGGGGACCCAAAGATAGTGACTCTATCTTTGATTTGTAATGGTATTGAACCTTCTGACTTTTGGCTAGGATCTACCTCGCCAAGCCATTTTAAGTCTTTGACCAATGGCACCAGAATACTTCTTCCAATTTCAGCACTGGCTTCTAATCTCTTTTCTGTTGCTGTCGTGGATAGGACTTTATTTGCCTTAAAGGAGTCAACAGTGCAAATTTCAAAAAGGTGAGTTTCCTTTGCCAAAAATCACCAAAGTGTTCCCTACTCCACTGTTTGATTTTGTCCATCTGCAACTGTGGTTTCTGGTCAAGCCTAAAGTCGACCCAGTGTTGGACCTCGTACAGGAACCATCAGAAAGGAATAAGGCAATGCAATCTGGATACTCCAGCCAAATCATTTCAAATGTGAAGGTTTACAACCTCCCGAAACAGGGCAGATATATAGGACTATGGAGAAACCATGTAAGGTGGCTTTGACAAGACTTTTGAATGAGATCCCAGTAATTTGTTTCACACAGGGAATATCAGGAAATGGTTGAGTTTCGATGGATTGGGCCCTCTGGAGTGATAGGACCAAGTAAAGAATGCACAAATAAGCAAAACATCTATGAGTTTTTTTCCAATAACCAATTCGATCATCCTTGTTTTTCTCGAAGGTCCACCAGGTGACGTTGAAGTTGCCCACAATGCACCAGGAATTAGGAGAAAGGGAGGAGAAGTGGTCGAGTTCTGCCCAGATATCAAGTCTGAGATTTAGTCTATCAAGACCGGGGGCATTCATAGCAAGGACCTTCATTTGGGTTTGGAGGATGAGGCATGTGGACACCTTATAGAGTGTCAGTGGAACTGCTCCTTAGAGGTTGAGGAGCTAGAGATGTGGTTGCCTGGTTGGATAACTTAGGCCTCCATTACTTGATGTTGCAAGAAAGATTTCTTACATCTCTACAGTCTACAATTTTAAACTCTTGGTTTGGTTTCTTTAAAAGCATCTTCTCTGAGGGCCTCTGAGATATCACTCGACAGACCATCAAAGTCCACTAGTTGTAACATGCGGAAGATGCTACCCTCTGGCTGGTCTATCCTTTGTATCTTCTATTTCATTCAGAGTACTTCGAACAGAAGGATTCGGTGTCTGGGTGGGAATGTGCTTCCACATCTCCAGGGGGGAGAGCTGTTGCTATTGAAGCACTGTCCTGAAGGGAATATATTGAGGGGGGATTCGGTACCAAAGGAAGAGGTTAAGGCCAATGAGTTGAGATCAGAGAAAGACTTTGTTAGAGCTGTGTGGAGAATTTGGAGAAAGCCACACCCAAGAGAAGTCAGAGTTATTTGTAGGTTGGGGCTGGGATAACAACTGTCAGCAGGAGTACTGGACGTATGAAAGTAAAACACCAAGGGGAGATCAGAAATAAGAGGGTTCGCCTTTGGGCTGAGAGGAATGGTTTCCAGTCTTCAATAAGAGAAATAGCATTGAAATTCAACTTCATAACTCCATCCAGGAAGGGAAAAAAATAAGTGGAACCCCTTTCTTTGCTTTCTTAGAGAATGTAATCACATGCCACTGTGTTTCCAAGTCTATGACACTACAAAAGAGCTCTAGGGGAAAGGCCCAAATATGTGTTCCAAAAGGACAATCCAAAAACAGGTGACTTACATTTTCTTCTTGGCACCTCTTTTTGACAAGTTGTCCACGGTCAACACTCTATCTAACCCTGCTAGATAAGGGTGACAATAGACCCAGCATTGGCTGGCCCATGCCTGGCCTGAGCCCAGGCGAGGCCAGGGCCAAAGGGTCCCGGCACAAGCCCGGCCTACTGGGCCACCTACTTCTGGGCTAGGTGGCCCAGAGCCTAGCAAGGCCATGTTAATGGGATCTGGCCGGGCTGGGCAATTAGATATTAAATACTTTTTCTAAATGCAAAAATAGAAAAATAAAAACTGCATGGCCAGGCCAGGCAGGAGGGTGACCACTGGCCCAGACCCGGCCTAGCCTGGACAATGTGCCTAGGTATCTGGCCAAAGCCAAACCCTCAAGCCAAATTTACTCACCCAGGCCCAAGCTGTTCTGGACACCCGCAGTTCAGGGCTGGGCAGAATGGATTAGGCTCTGCCACCAACCCATTGCCAAGCCTACTGCCAACCAAGCAAATTCTTGCGTCTTCGGAGGGCCAAGGGGACCAAACCCTGTGAATCTTCTGCACTCTAGGTCAAACCATTATACATGGATCTAAGTGATAATTCTCCTCTACTTTCAGGGAACCGAACAAACCTATCTCCTCTACTTGGCATGAAGAACTTCTGTAACTTCGAATGTGGGTTTTGAAAGCTTCAATCTCTTCCTCTGTTAAGGCACATCTAAGTGGCAGAATCCATATCGATTATTGGCCCCTTGTTATGTTTTGTCTCTGAACTAGGGAAATTTTCTCTAGGTAAACCTTTTTAAGTATCTGGCTCTCTAGCTATATATCAAGCCAAAACCAAGCACTCCTCCCACTGCTTAGCAGCATTCGGTCATTACAAAGCTTGCTTAACAACGGTCCACTCAATTCCACACCCTTGAAAACCTACTTTTAGCCCTATATACTGTAAATAACCTCCATGTATCATCCACTCCATATTCCCTTTTGACAGCTTGTTTCCACAAGTGTTTAGATTGAGTAACAAAGCACCACTACCACTTGGGTAGAACAGCCTTTTACATCACCGTTGTGCGTCTGAATCCCAAACTCCTGTTGCTTTTAGGCCGAGATAACTTTGACCACCTCACCAGATGGAATTCATGCCCTTCGAAGACCCACTCCAAAGAAAATTCCTAGCCAGTCTCTCTAGTTCTTTTCAACCAAAGCTGGAATCCTAAACAATGACATGTATATCGATGGGGAAATTGCCTAAGATGGACCTAGTGAGGGCAATCCCCTCTCCTATAGAAAACTACCTTGCCTTCCATGGATCCAAACCTCACTTGAATCTTTCAAGCACATATTCACCACATTGTGGTATTAATATCTCCTCATGAACTCTAGGATCATGCCTTCTAGTGACATACTGATTGATAGAATTCTTGCTTACAGAGCCGCACAAAATTTGAATAAGGGAGAAGCTTTGCTTTATACAGTAATTATATATAAATTAACAAAGGTCACCCTTTTGGCTGAGATAGCCACATGAGAATTGCATCACATTCAGTATCCAGAAATCAAACAGAGTTGCATGACAATCAATAGCCAGATTTTATACAGACTGAAAACAAGAGAAGGAATAAGAAAAAAAAAAGCGAAATTACAAGGAAAAGGACCAAAACCAGTACTCAACTAACCCATTGGGCTTCAAAAGAAATAGGGAAAGTATACTATAACCCTATAGACTTAGAGAAAACTACAATGCCTTGGGGCCACCATCTAATAAATCAGAGAGAGGGCATCACATCCAAGTCAGGTAGTTAGATCCAGCCCTTCATTGCCTTCCATTTTTCTAAATATTCAGGAATGAACCCAATTGACTATAGTTTTCCATAGTCCCTTTGGCTTATAATACACTATCTCCAAGAAATATTGTTTGAGAATCACACCTGGAGAACCCAATGCGCACAACTCAAGAACCGCGCAACTCCAAGTGCGAATACGTAATGAGCAGTAAATGGTTCAACAATCTGCAAAGACACAGTCAGATTATGCAAAAAGTGACTAGCAATTAATCATTAAAAAAATATAACCTCTTTCACCACCTTTACGTTTTGCATCACTCGTAACTGAGGCAATACTGAAACAGCTTCAAGGTATACACAGAAAGCCCACAAGATTCTGTTGACAATATTGTGGGATGTTGTTGGTCGAATAAAGAGTGCAAGTAAAGCACATGGTACCACCTGCATATGGAAGTTCAGATTGTAATTAGTATCCCTGATATCATTTAGACTACTTCGAACTCCATTTATCATGCCAAAATCTAAATAAACAAAGATTGAGTTATTGTGTGATGGAAGTGCTCTTTGAGTAACGAATTAAAGAAAAAGTGCACAAAAATTAAGCAAAAATCACAAATCATGATTTTGTAATAATATGATTCTTGCACAGATAACTTGTTACAGAATAAAGGTTTCCAATAACAAATCCACTATACTACCAATAGCCCAACATAATATGCAGAAGAAAGGTTGAAATGATACAATGATAACTATGTCAATGCACTCATCATGTAGCATAGGTGATAAACTGCTCGCCTAAAGTGCTTCAGTTTCAATACAGTGAATATGGGCATCTAGACTGATATATTATTGATTTCAGATAACCTAAACTTGTTCTACTTTTTGGTGCCCAATGCCATCAGACAAATAGAAATCATGCTGTGGGATAGAGATAAACTTTCCCCTGTTTTTTTCAAATTGAGAAGATGCAGATGTGCTTCTAATGCACTTGCTAGGAACTGAGAGATTGCAGGTAACTGATATCCCGAAAACGATTTACTAATTTATTGGAATACCATGAATCATAACAAAATAGAATTACTTGATAACATCAGTAATAAGTTATGTATTATTTAAAATATTTCTCTAATTTAGTGTAAACCATATATCCTTATCACATGTATTGCTACGAAAGGAGCACTTATGTAGTTCACTTAAAATTATAATCAAGGTGATATTGCTTTCAAGTTTTGTCTAAAGCTCACCCTCAGTAGTCACAAGTCATGTTACAATATAGATTTTTTTTTTTTTTTGACCTTTACCTTTCTAAAATGTAAGTCTTTCACTACTACTGTTTCCTGTTTTATTCCAAATAGAGGGTGAGTCAGTTGAAGAGTCGGAAAAAGGGGTGACAATGATGATGATATATAGGATGTCAAGGAAGACATCTTTCACAACCTAGATGATTGATGGATCGCTAAGACCATCAATTTTGGATATGTTCGAAAATGAAATTTTTTGAGACAAGGTAATGTGGTTGTAAAGGTGTATAACACAAATCACATTATACAATATACTGTGTCAAAATTGGAAGGAGACTTTTCAGGGGCAAAGAAAAAAATTTCCCAGTCTTCAAAAATGACTATACAAGCTAATTGAATCAAAAACATTCCAGATGGTTTTGCAATTCAGGGTGGATAAGCACTAAAGATGTGCTGAGAGTCCCCTGTTTAGCCAACTTGCACAGTGCTATTAGCCTCTAGTCAAGTATGATGGAAAGAGACATTTAGTGAGGCACTCATAAAAAATGTCTCTTCAAAAATCTGATTCAATATTCTTAGAAAAATAGGGACTCCATTAGCCCAGTTGCTGATGTTCTACAAATCCCCTTAGATGATTAAAGAGGTGCCGCAGCTTCTATCGAATAGCTAAAGACCAAGTAGGACGGCACAACCCTTGCTCATTGATGAGGTGGCTACACCGAACGGCCCCCAGAAGGTAAGTTCAAAGACCCCTGGCTGTCCCTAAATAATATGTCCCACACCTCCCTACCAGAGATATTAAATGAGCAGCCACCAAAGTTTAATTTGATGGTGCCCTACTCCGGTGGCCATCAGCAAGAGAACCTAGGGTTGAATGTTCTACCAGAGCTTGCAATGCTCTCCCAGGTAAGCAAGTTTTGAACCCTTTGAGCTCATGCAAGTTTTGAACCCTTTGAGCTGTCTCACCCATTCAACCACTGCTGTTTTAAGCTCTCCATAATGTTTAGGATGGATCTCTACTTACCTTAAAAGGCCCTTTTGTTACATTCTAGCTAAACATTCCAACAAAGTAAATACTGAAGCCCTCCAAAGTATTAATCCTGCCTTTGGTAGTGCGGGAGAGAAATAGGCCCAAAAGAGTTGTTCAACGATTCTCAGTGCTACCCATTCAGTTGGAAATAATCTAGAGCAAATTAAGAAGAGAAAAGGAGAGAAATAGACGTAAGATGTTAGAGAATATTAAGAGAGAGAAAGAGAAGGAAGAAGAAAGAGAAGAGAGAGAGAGAGTGAAGACGAGAGAGGAAGAGAAAGGAGAGTGGCAAGTTGGTCAAGAAGGACCAAGACACACTTCTTATTTATATTAATAGGATGATCTAATTACAAAAACTGCCTTTCTTAATGAAATAGGACTTATATAAGTCCTAAATAAAGTCAAGACACTTGCACCCATCAAAGACAAAAATACTCAATTATTTCTAACACTCCCCCTCAAGTTGGTGCATAGATACAATCATGCCCAGCTTGCTTGTGATATCTTGTAGTCTGTCATGTCTAACAACTTTAGTGAAGATATCTACAAGTTGATCTTTAGACTTCATATGCAGATTATGAATGCTCTAGGCAACAACCTTCTCTCTAACGAAGTGACAATCTACTTCAATGTTTTTAGTCCTTTCATGACTATAAGATTCTCGGAGATGTGAATGGCAGCATCATTATCACAGTACAAAGTCATGGGAAGCTTAACTTTTGACGTCCAAATCGAGCATAACACTTTTATCAGAAGGACGGTATTGGAACATAACATAGAGCTGATATGAAGTAAGATAAGAAGAAGACGTTGAATTATAAAATACAAAGTTCCCCTATAGGACGCTGAGTAAAAGAACGATTACCTTTGCCCACGGCAATGGGTAAGTCCAAATTAGGACTCTTTAAGAAGGTGAAAGAATTACCTGAGTCAGAAACAGTTCTTGATTCCGGGTTAGCAATCGGGGTATAATCATTTAGAACTTCAGGTTACTATCTTCTTTCTCCTAATATACATCTTCAGCTCCTTTTTAGGATGTACACCATTTCTCTTCAGATAAAAGTGGTGTGGGAATAGGAAGTGGAACCACTGATGTGCTCTCTTCACTAAATTTTATCTTAGGGCATGTTTGATAACTAGAAGGTAAACGTTCCCTGGAAGTTTGGAAGCTCTTCTTTACTGGGAAGAAAGAAGTTACTGTAAGGAAGTTCTGAATGTTTGTGTTTGATAAACTGCTGGAATGTTAGTTTAAGTTGAGAATGGGGTTTGAGGAAGTGTAGGAGAAGGCGTGGAGGAGGCTGAAGCGAGGAGGCGGCGCTAGTGTGAGGTGGGAGGCCGATGTGGGCTTCTCTTGAGAATAGGGTTTGAGGTATAAACATGAGGGCGAGGGAGGAGGCACGGTGTTCCTATTTTAAGTTCCATCATTTTAGCCGGAACTTTTTTTCTTAAGCACAAGGGAGTAAGGAAGTTCTGGGGGATCTCTTCAAAGTTCTGGGGGATCTTCTTTACTATATTCCGTGCATTAAACACGGGAGTTAAGTAGGGGAAGTTCCTTTTTCCTCCATCTAACTTCCTGTTATCAAATACGCCCTTATTCTCCCCTTGAAGAGAGCACTCATGCACAACGGATGAGAAGTACATAACAAATTTGAAGAAAGTAACATTCCTGGAGACATAGCAGACTTTGTTTAATAGGATCATAATGCTTGAATCCTTTTTGCTGAGGATATCCTAGAAAAACACATTTGATGGCATTAGCATCAAGCTTGTCCTTGTCTCTCTTCGGATCAAGGATGGGAAAAAAAAATGCAGCCAAACACTTTGGGAGGTATAGAAAATAGGGGAGAGTTTAGATAAATAAATTCAGGAAGATATTTGTCCGCATAAAACAATTACTTAAGTAAGAATTACTCTAAATATTTACTCATGTGGGTCCATTACAAAAATTGCACGCCTACCTACATTGGTCTGCTTTTGTAAACTCACGTCCTCATTTTTTTGCACCAATCAATTGGATTGGACAACTCCCGCTCGAATATCAATCGATGAATATATTTAAGAATGTTGAGAACATTGAAATAGATTGTTTCCAAAATAGAAACGTCATTGTAGCTAAGCTTTCCATTGCAAAACAAGAAAAAAGGAAAGACATTGCCATAAATAATTCCTAATAGCTCTCCTCCATCAAAGATCATTCCATCACCCATAAGGCAACCCCATGTGGGGCTTGATTTGTTTGAACAACACTCAGCGATTAGAGATGGACAGGTTCCAATGAACTAGCCCCAAAGAAGTTGAGCATATTTATCACAACCAGATTCCTCAATAGAACCACAATGCGACTAACATTTGTATCTCCTTCCAACTCCTTCCTTCTCTCCTTGCCCTCTCTTGTTGTTTTTCTTTGAAACTAGACACAAGGCATAATTCACAAGGAATGTGAAGCCGTGAATTCTAAAATATGTAGAAAATCATGACATTCAGAAAATTTGTAGGTCATAAAAAACTGGAGATCCACACTCCATTAAGGAGTTACAATGCATGCCACATTAAGCCACCCAGGTATTGGATAGAGGACTCAAAGAATCACAATAACTAGCTCCCACTTCTCCCATATCCATTTTCATCCTCACGAGTACACCCTTCATTAATTTGAAAATTTAGATATTCCCTCTAACAACCCTCACCACACATAAGCAACACACGACATCCACTTTTCTGGTAGTCAATTCTTTGATTTTCTAGCAACAAACCTTTTCTTGGTTTCCTGGCTAGAGACACCAAATATTCTCCAGTAGCAGTCCAAAAGCCCATTCAAGAAACAGGAAAGCTGAAAATGATCAACTACCTCCCAATGAAAAGCATGAATCATATAGAGAACACTTGTTTCAATTGACCCCACTTGACATGCTCCTCTCAGGAGTACAAGATTCATCCAGGGAGGTTACAGCATGGTCCATGCTTTATGGACAAAAATCAATGCATTCTACTCCTTGCTAATGCTATGCAGGAACAGGAACACCACATAGATAACTCCGCAGACTTGCAACTTAGCAGTCCATGGAAAACATAGACCATACATATCTGTGGTATAGACCACCATTAATTTAAACAAGAAAAAATACACTAATACAAACAAAACAATTAATTTTCGGAAGCAAGATGAGGTTTAATGGTGAAGCCCTTTTTTTACTAACAACAGGCTTGAAAACATTTAAAAAAGCAAAATAATTGTTACTTTATTAGTGGTCTCTTACACCAGGACTGTAGTATGATTTGAAGTCTGTCCATTAAGGAGAAGGAATTACCACATAGTATATTGGGAAATTGTCCTTGTCCTCCATGTAACTTGATCGCAGTTTAAAACGTATCATATAAATGACCCACAATGTTGTGATAAGTGTAGCCGAATCCAGTAATGTGTGTAGATCAAATTCCATGACAAAACTACAGTAAAGTCTAACAGCTAAAAACAATGCAGTAAGTTCTTGTGACTTCAGTGAAAGTCCTGCAAAACAATAAAACTTACATGAGCAGCCAATGATTAAATTTGTATTAACTGAATATACAATACTGAGACATAAATACCACAAAGCATAAATAACTGATACAAGTACTATTAAAAAAGATAAAAAAATAAAAAGAATCCAAGAATTCCATAGTCGAAGTCAGATGACTCGACGCTTGAGCTATACTCTGACAAATACATGCTGAACTCATCAAAGAAAGACCAACATAAAGATACTTGCCTTTCTTTGAGAAGTTACAGAGATAAGCATATATTAATACATAGCTATATATGTACACACATAGACATAGAGAAATTATGCGTGAAGTAACATAATCACACAATAAATGTACACAAATACAAATCCTGACTGTGCATGCATAATCAAAATCAGTGCCTTAATATCAAACTTTTTGGAACATAATTTCCCTTTTATTTTATTTTATAATTCAGAAGATCCAACCATCTTAGATCACTGTGCAATTTTTTAGAAGGTACAAAAAGTACAAGAAAAAACTCACATGATGAGAAAAGAAGAGAAATTCATGTTTCCTAAGAAAAGGACGAGGTGATTCCAATCCAATTTAAAATGCATTTAGTTGTCATTATAGAAGAAAAGTGATCACTAGAGCCACGTTTAAATAACATGGAAGCAAAGGGGGTGGCGTTAAAAATCTATTAGGATAGGAAATTGAGCCAAGTCTTTTATATTTTGGAAATCTATTTGGGTAGGAAAGATAATTTGTGAGTCCGTCCATTTTGTATATGTTCGAGTTTGGTAAGTCAAGGAGGTATATGAGAGGGTCCAACTAGAAGTTAAAGTTGGATAGTTTTGGGTTTAATTTTAAGGAAGGTTGTGTATTGAAGGTCAAGCTAGGTTAGTGTGTTGGGTCCATAAATAGTTGAAATAGATGCCATGGGCGTGCATTATGATAACAATCAAGAATTAACATTGGGTTGACATTGAGTTGTAGAGGGAGAGAGAGAACCATCGAGCTCACAAGAAAATTTTAGAGAGAGAAATAGGAGTGTACAGAGTGAGAGAGAGAGGCCATTGAGCCTGTTGATATTGTAGAGGGAGAGGGATATGGTTAAAGGGAGTTAAATTTGTAGAGGAGAATGGGCTCTAAGCAGAAGTAGTCTAGAAGGTTACACAATATGACATCCAATTCCATTCCCACCAGGTCATAATCAACAAAAGAGACGTATTGTAGAGAAAGAATGTTAGAAAAATTTCTAGAGAAAGATATTTGTAAGCCCATTGAGGCATTGAATTTGCTTTAGGAAAATCGTTGTTTTTATGTGTGTGTGCAAATCAGCCCATCAACAACCAAAACTTTCACTTTTTTAACAGATGGTATAACTCTAGAGAAGTAGTATCCAGAGGCGAAAATCTGATTCCCTAGAGGAATATGCTAGATACCAAGTTCCTAAAATTCAGATGCTATCTAGAGATTTCACTGCACAACTGAGTAGAAGAGACTTGTGAATCATTTAAGAAGTTGAGGTAGTGAGATAAGGGTAAGAGAAAGAAGGACTCCACAAAGAAACAACACCTGGAGTTGAGAACTATATAATCTTTCATAACATATGAGGAATCAGCAGAGGCTCAATAGTGCAGTCAGGAGGGCTGACTTGGGGAGCAAAAAATAAACATTCTAGTGAAACTTGAACTTATTTTGACGAAATATCGACTCTTGGGCACTTAATAAAACATATCAATTTTTTGGAGAACGTTGGAAAGAGGAATATCAAGGATTTCATTCATAAGAAGGGTGGTACCATCACTATTATTCAGGAAACAAAAATAGAGATGCCTAGGGGCGAATTCAGATGGTCACCCTTGGCCTATTCTTCCTACTACTATTTTAGAATAAGGGTAAGAAAAACAAAGTTTTTTTCTTTCTCGGTCTTTTACAATTAGCGACTATTTGGGAGCACTTTCTACACAAATGGGGTTCAAAAAGTAACAGATACAAACGATTGGTGGTGCTCCTATACAAGTGGGGTGAAGAAATACTAGAATTACCATCTAGCGGTCAATAAAAGAATGCTTTAAATGCTGATAGCTCAATTATATTGTTTGGGGATGACATTTTTACTAATGATTGGGATTCACAACACATGATTCTGTCATGACGTAATGGGAATCATAGTCACTGGGTGCCTTTTTTTATATTGAATGCATACTTCATTAATTCAAAAAATAGATATAGACGAATTTGGCATAAAAAAAGTTGAGAATGTTAGAGATTCTGAGTTATGTGATTCCTAATGATGAAATTATGGACTTCATCCCTTCCTATGGAGTCTGCCACTTCGTTGGACTCTCTCCATGTGTATTGGAAATTGATGCTAACATTGTTAGTTCTTCAAAAACTTCCTCAAACATAAACTTGTTTTTTAATAGAAAAAATTGAGAGACAACTTGACTTTCCAGTGGACAAGTTTTGCAAATGAAAAACTCACCATGTGCCCATGTTTTGCCTTTTCCATATATACCTTTTGTTAATTTGACCAACAAATGGTCTTTTTTAGGCCAGTAGCATCGTGATGTCCTGCGCTTGTCAAGCTTAATTGATTCCCACAATTGACACATTATCTTTCAAAAGTGTTTCATACAGAATTTAATTATACTGCTTGACTCGGGGCGACTCAGTTTCACGGAGTGACTGTGTTGGCCACCAAGTTTGAGCTGTTAGACCTAATTGGATGTAATCGTCACGGCCTAAAGAGCTTCATATCACAGGCTCATGCAACAAGATTCTTAATAGGGTAACCAGCTAAGGCTACCTTCCCTTTAGTTCGAAAATAATATGGAACCAGAGCACCTGAGCATGAAAAATAAAATTGAGCATGGTACAGCTCCAGTATGGGAGAAGGTGGCAGATATTTAGAGGGGATAGAAATCTCTTGTGAGTTAAGGTTATGCTAAAAGATAGGAACTGGTCCACTTTTCACTTCCTAAGCAAAAGGAAACAAAATGCTTTGGATAAGATGGTTCAGATTGATAGATGAGAGGAAGAAGGCTGATAACGGAAATCTGAAAGGGTTAGAAGAATGGAATTGAGATCAATGCTTTGAAATCCAATGCCTCATCATCTAGTCGGTCAAGGTACCCCACTGAACCGAAGAGGCCTAGGTGGTGGGTGCCCTATTCCTTCATGTAAAAAGTAGGTAACCTTGGTGCCTTGACACCAGACAAGGTGCCCATCTGGCACCTTGCTGCCTAGGTGGGTGCCTCGATGCCCTTGCCAGTGAACATAAAATGTCCGCCTAAATAGAAGTATATCATCATGACTTTCAAGATAACATAAAAATGGAAGGGAACGTTCAGTTATTTCTCCACTCTTTAAGGGAAAGTGCTTTATTCCCATTTGACGCATGTAAAATAATTCTTTGTAAACAAAATAAACAATATGGTACTTGCAAATCTTTCTCTTAATCTTTTGCGTTAACCAGAAGTACCTTTGGTGATTGGGAGGGATTCTATTTTAATGTTTGGGACTGCCCTTTGTGGCTTGCATTTTTGCATCGTAGTCGTTTTATTTCAAATTTCTCTTTATCAAATTTTGAGCAAAATTCTTTTAGTTCCATGTGTGATGCAACAAGGCAACAATAAACATAGGTTCCCTTAGTGAGTGGCCGTAATGTAGATGAACTATTGGGTGAGCAATGATTGAGAGAAAATGCCTTTATGCCAATGCATAACTATCTTTAGGAAAACCTTTCTAAATTTTCTGCATAACTATCTTTAGCTTAAATCCATCTCTTTCTGTATATCTCTCTGGCCATTTTGGAGGATGTGATGCACAAGAGACTTCCCATTCCAAAGGGACCAAAATATCCACGTTAGTACAATTATATGAACATTTCTACCAAATAATATCCTTTATCACATAATGATGAAAGAGGACATTTCACTTAATAGTGTGCCATAACAAATCACTTCTCTTATTTTTTAGGCCCCAAACCCTCCTTATTGCTGTCTGGGGGGCTAGGTGGCTGCAATCTGCAGTTTTGGACATTGGTTGAGATAAAACTGAAGAGATCTTCTAATGTCAAAAGCCAAGGGTGAAATGGCCATTATAATTCCTACTCTATGGGGGTCCTAAAATAAGATACCTAGAATTGAAGATATCATTTGAAAGCAAAAGATTAGAAAATGGTGAGTTGACTCACCTTGGGATGGTAACAGGCCTCATTGAGTTGACTTGGATTACGATTATGACGATCCTAGTCTGAGTGACTCTTACAAAAAAATGTTACAAGAAGAGGCTTAGGGGTTACGGTATCTATTGATGCAATGGCAGGCACGAGAGACACCTTTAACATTTGGCCAATGTTGTGGGTGTCATGGATACCTCTTATCAGCTAGTGGATACAAAAGTATTTGAAAATAGGGAATCTGCTAGTCCTTGGCCCAATACAGGCCGCCATAAGTTTGAGGACGATGAACCCCTGAAGATGGTTGCATGGAGATGGAGAGGGCTGTTTAATCTAGCTTATATTTTATTTTCAATAAAAATTATTTGATCGCTCTCTGTAGCTGTTTGATTCTAGAACTCAAGAGGATAGTGAGGAGCAATCTTGTGATGGCAAAGAGAGAAGTAAAAGTTTATACTTTGCGGAAACAAAAAACAATTGGAGGACACCATTGCTGACAGGTATCATAGGGCTTCAAGTCAATTGCATACAATCGCACTAGATCTCAATGTGATATTTCTGATCTTCTCATTGTTGTAAGAAAAGGCAAATGAAGTTGTATTCTACACCCAAATAGCAACTTTGTTTCCTATATGTCCTTGTCTCCTTCCTATCATCCTTTCATGCCTACTTTATCTTTTGTTTCTATTCCATCCAGTATCTATGAAGCTTTAGCTCATTCCAAGTGGAAAGAGGCTATGTGCGAGGAGAGGAGAGCAATAATCAAGAATGGTACTTGGTGGTTCTCAACCTCATTTGGAGCTGTCTAGTTTACTTCTTTCAGTTCTCACTCTCATAGTTTACTTCTTGCGGTGGGAAAGAGGATGTTGATCGACAGTGTTGCTCGGTCGGGAGAGAGGGCTTTAAAGGGAAGATCGGTGATGGTCTTTTACCGATGTTTAGAGATAGGAATTATCTATTGTAACCCAAAACTGTAATCTTCAATGTGATAGTGGATTTCTAGTTGCCGAGGCCGTGGATGTAGCCCTACGGGGTGAACCATGTAAATCGTGTGTTGTTGTGGTGTGCTTTTAATGTTTGCTTTATTTCTCGCACTAGATTTATAGTTGTATTCATCTACTTCGCATTTAGTCAATCATGTATACAATCTTGGGTGGGATCCCGGTGTTTGGGATTCTCGGTTCCACAAGCTAGGGGTTCTCGAGAACCCTACAATTCGTATCAGAGCAAAAGGTGTGTACGGGGCTAAAGTCTATATTAAGAAAAATAGGAATGACAAAGTTTTATGGCTTGAGGTGGAGAAATTTGAAGGCAAAGTGCTTGTGAAAATTCCACAATGGAGGCAAGTGAGAAGAAATCACGAAATATCCATGGTTTGAGGTGGAGAAATATAAAGGTAAAGTGTTTGTGAAAATTCCACAATGGAGGCAAGTATGAAAAAATCAAAAAATCTATTCAATGAAGGTTGTCAAGCCAATTACGGTGATTTTGCTATCAAGATGGAGATTGTTGGGTTTGGTGATAGCTAAATTATCATATCCATATTTTCTTTTAAAGATTAGGGTATTATGGGAAATAAAAAATTGACTTTCTTGGGAAGCAAGAAACTGATATCTTTATAAGAGAGTGAAGGACGACATAATACCCATCCTTTGAGGGTCACCACTTTAGGGGTTATGGGAATGTATCTCCAATATGGAGATGGGTCTCCAAGAGAGAGAGACATGGCCTCCGAAAGAGAGGTGATATTCCCATGAGTTTTGGGTTGGTTAACTTTCACTTCTAGTTGCTCTCGAGATTATCTTTCCGGCAGCGGTATTGTGGTGGGAAAGAGGATGTTGATCGACAGTGTTGCTCAGTTGGGAGAGCGGGTTTTAGCAAGGAAGATCAGTGCTGGTCTTTTACCGATGTTTAGAGATAGGTATTATCTCTTGTAACCCAAAACTGTAATCGTCATTGTGATAGTGGATTTCTAGTTGCCGAGGCCATGGATGTAGGCCTACGGGATGAACCACGTAAATCGTGTGTTGTTGTGGTGTGATTTTTATGTTTTCTTTATTTCTCGTACTCGATTTATAGTAGTATTCATCTACTTTCCATTTAGTAAATCATGTACACGAACTTGGGTGGGATCCCGGTGTTTGGGATTCCCATTTCCGCAAGTTAGGGGCTCTTGAGAACCCTACACTTGTGTCCTTCCTATCATCCTTTCATGCCTTCTTTATCTTCTGTTTCTATTCTATCCAATATCTATGAAGCTTTAGCTCATTCCAAGTGGAAAGAGGCTATGTGCGAGGAGAGGAGAGCAATAATCAAGAATGGTACTTGGTGCTTCTCAACCTCATTTGGAGCTGTCTAGTTTACTTCTTTCAGTTCTCACTCTCATAGTTTTATCTTTCTTATCATAATTAATAAGACAGGCACCTTTCATAAAATCAAAACAGCTCTTTACTCTCCAGATTGGATGCTTTGCAGCACTAGATAAGGATTGCAGTAACAACTATTTGCCAGTTTTCCAACATATGCTACCCATCTCAGTATATTAAAAAATCTATTGACCACTTTTTTTCTTTTTTTTTTTCCAAATGCTCCATCCTTGGGGAGATTTAGAACTTCTTTCTTATGTCAATTAGAATGGACTGGAAGATGAAATACTTTGTCGAGTGTTATCTTAAATTCCACTCAAGAAAGGTAAAAGTCTTTCACAAATATGAAGGTACTTGACCACATATTTACAGGTATATGCAAATGGAGGCCTAAAATATTTCATTGGTAAGGTTAATATTTCTTCCTCTTCAATAAGTATGCCATCAAGAAAGCAAAGCATCAAATTCGCATATCGAATCCAATCAAAGACATCAGTACCCAGCCAAAGCAAGGCATTTAGCATAGATTTCCCTGGCATAATTCAGAATTGATAAACCATATACATAAGAGCCCAAAAAATTATACCATAATAAAAACCCAATCACATTTATTTGTATACAACAAACTCTATGAAATCATAAGGAAAAAGTAAGCATTCTCACGAAACAAGGGTAATAAAACTGATCCAACACATGCCAATCGAGAAACCCAGAACATATAGAGAGAGAGTGAGAGATAATGATGATTTTTTAGAAGTACAGTAGAAGCTTATGATCATTCAAACCCAAAAAAGAACACAAATCAAGGACCCAAAAATGGGTTGAGAGATATCAAAACAGATACATCAAAACGAAACATACTGATCAAACCCACTACAAAACCCAACATAGTGATCAAACCCACTACAAAACCCAACATAGTGATCAAACCCACTACAAAACCCAATCAAGGAACCCCCAAAACGGGGGTGTGGAGAGAGATAGAGAAAGAGGGGTACCAGCACAAGTCTTCTCCTTGATCAATTTGTAGATCAAGACAGAGATACCAATGGCGTGTGAGGCCTCAGCTGCAACAAAGAGGTTGTCATGGTCATGAACTACGAGCCTCAGGAAAACGAGTAACCCCATTCCAGCCACCACAGCGAGGAACGCCTTCACCTTCGGAGGCTGCCTCTTCACCCAAGTCGCCACCACATGCACAGGGTTCTTCCTCATCGCCCGACCTGAACCCATCATCTCTCTCTCTCTCAAGGTCTCCTTTGGATCACCCCACAGCTCAGAGAGCCCCCTTCTCGACCACTCTTTATTCTTTAAGGATTGAAAAGAGAGAGAGAGAGCGAGATAGAGAGCGAGTTTTTCTGAGAAGAAGAGAATGGCGTAGTATATCTGCAACAATAAACGTGGGCGAATAGATTAATGAGCGGCACTAAGATTGTGTTCATAGATCAGTTGATTTTTAATTTATTTGGGATTGCGGAGCATTTTACGGAGGCCCAAGGGGTTGGAAAACTTATCTCCATCGCCGCCCTCGACTGATTGATCGGAGGATCATTACACTTTTGGCCATAAATTGTCTGCGTCCAATACGGATCGTTATACATATCCTTACCCTTAAATTGATTATTATTATGCAGGAGACCATAGTCACTTAAATAAATCAAATAAATGCTACCTTCAAAGATTTCGAGGACCACATGGAAATGCTGGGTAAGTGTTGATGTATTGTGATATACATTGACAGCATGGATAACAAATGTAGCTAGACATTAGAAGAGTTGGGGTTTTAAGAAATGCCGATCTAGATCGAAATTGTTTGATTTAGAACGAAAATCGACAAGACTATCATGATATTTTATATATTGAAAAATGGGCTGTTCTAGAAAGAACCCGCCGATCCTTAAACTAAACAGGCTGGTTGTGTGAGGAATTTCCTTTACTTTTAGATATGGGAAAAGTTTATATAAGGTTGCAACCTTAAAATGTAGAATCACAAATGCACATCAAAAATCTATTGAAAAGGCTGTTTTAATGTTGAAAAACCCTCTAATTCATCATCTCGACAACGAGATGTACAAATATTACAAACAAAAAACATTTTTGAGTCTAAAAAATAGTGCATCTTGCAACACACTATCTAGACCGTCCATTTTCAAGATTTTCATATGTTTATAGTTCTGCTTGATTTTAGCCAGTTTTGGAGTTTAAAATTTTCTAATTAGATATGAAAATAGTTTTTAAGATAATCCTAAAAAAAATTACACAAAATCACATGTTATGATAAAATTTGGATGTGCGCCTTAATTGGATTGTTAAAGGTTGCAACCTTATAGAAACCGCACCTTTCATATATATTTACTGTGTTTTTATCTTTGTCACATTTTTTAAAGTTTTTTTATTGGGTGCGATTTCTATAACGTTGCAACTTTAAAGAATCCAATTAAAACGCACCTCCAAACTTTATCAGAACGTGTAATTTTGTTGTAAAAAATTCTTAGGATTATCTTAAAATCTATTTTCATATCTAATTAGAAAATTTTAAACTCCAAAAATAGTTAAAATCAAGGAGATCTATAAAAATATGAAAATCTTGAAAGTAGACGGCCTAGATAATGTGTTGTAAGATGTACTATATCTGAGACTCAAAAACTTTTTTTATATATATATTCATACATTTCGATGTCGAGATGATCAAATAAAGGGTTTTTCAACATTCAAACAACCTTTCTAATAGATTTTTGAGATACATATGTAATTCTAGATTTTATGGTTACAATCTTATATAAACTACTTTTTCCTTTTTTATTTTATTGGCGACCACTCTTTTAATGGAAGTGGTTCCACCTCTACCCTACTCAAAAGGGGGAGCTAACGTCCTCCTTTTTTATAGGGATTTTTGTCCCATGCCAAATCAATACTCCACTATTTATCTGAATCATATAACGCAGTCTTGATTCAGAAAGAGGGAATAGTCCTCACTGCCTTTTTTATTGGGCATATAACGAACTTTCACATGGCCTAGTTTTTCAAATAAATGAAGAGTTTCCTTTTTATATAACGCACGTCTTGATTCACATGGGACAAAGCCCATATACCCTTTTTTATTGGGCATATTAACGAACTTTTTTTTTTTTTCCGAATCACAGGCCTAGCTTTTCAAATAAATGAAGAGAGGTTCTTCAACCTAATGAAGAGAGAGACTATTTTAATCATTCATAGGTTCTAGTCTCTATTCAAAATACTATATCTTGACACATGGGGAAATTTATCTTTCTCTTCAAGTATCCAGGCAACCACCTCCCACACTAACATGGTTTGTGCTTTATTTATTTTGTTTTCCCTAGTTATATGTTTGTAAATTATATTGATCTGTCCCCCTCTCCAAGGCAAATGATTGTGTCTCAATTCTTTGCAAGAAAATATATATGATATATCAATACAAAGTAGCTGACGTCGATATTTTCAAAGAGATAATAAGATATAAATTAAATATGAATAGAAATAAGTGAAACACTTCTAGAAAGATATATCTAAATATGGCAACTCTAGAGATAATTTAAATACGATACTTTTAGATAGATAAACATGAATGGAAATTAATAATTGATTTAATAAATTAATTTCTAGAAAAAAATAAGAAATGAGTAGGTAAGATCCTCAATATTTTACATATGTAAATAACAATGGAGATTATAAAAATACAAAAATAAAATTATTTGAGTTATGGAGATCTATTTTATTACAATTAGTTGCATTTTAAACTTTATTTTAAGTCTTTGACTATGAAATGCATGTAATGATCAACAAACACTTAGACATGAAATGTGTTCTCAATACTTTTGTATTTTTAGTAAAATAATGCAAATCTATAATGCAACACCCATATTCTTTTTTGAAAACCTAAAAATCTAGATTATTTAAGAAGTTCTAATAACTTTTTTTTTTAAGGCCAATCCAACTGATCCACCAATCCAGACCATTACTTCACCTACCGGGTCAGGTTTCTGGATGGATGATTTAGGTCATCGATCTGTTTTTTAAACATTGTATGAGATCATAAGAGTGATAGGATAACACAATATTTTATAAAAAAAATGTTGCTAATTTTACCACTTATTAAAGGGATTATCTACAAAGAGACCATTTATCTTTATTACAAGGAGACCACCACTATTCCCATGCATTAGATGTCAAATTGCATGTCTTGGGGTAAGTCATGAAGTCCGAGAATTTTATTTTGAAACTTTGTGTCTATTCAATGACACTTTTACAACCATTCATTTTGAAATTTAAGGGACAAGAATAATTATGACCTCCTTTATAAAAGACAAATAGTATCGATTTTTTTACTAAAAGCCATAGGATTCATTTATTTAGGGGAAATGTTTAAATGTCAAGAGAAAAAAATTTAAATGCAATTCTATTCATTGTATCTTGCAAAATCCATCTCAGTGTTAAGATGGATTTTAGGATTTGAAATACACCTTATTGTAGGTCCATGATTTCAAATCAAAAAGAAATAAAAGTGTGTATCTTGTAAAAACTAATATAAACATTGGTAAGCAATCTAAAAATAATGTTTAAAAGATTTTTTTTTCCCAAATTTATGATCATGGTGGTCGTAAGATAAAGACCTATGTGATCTTTTGACAGGGAAACACATTTTTTTTTTTTAATAATAATCACCCCTTATAATTTTGGCAACAAGATCACTCACAGATGGTCTTATTACAAACAATAGAAATTCCAAAAAAATAAATAACACATCAATAAAATAAATCTCAACTACTTGATGCCATTAATATAACCTAATACTATGTTTGAGAATATAAAATAAAGAACAAGAAAATAAAAGAAAAGATGTCGGAGATTACCTCAATCAGGCTTTTTACACGCCACACCAAGTTACCACATCCAATGGCACTGGATCTGCAATCTAGCTTCAATCTTGAACTGAGATAGCTGTTTTCGGCCAAATTAAGTAATCACCCTTAAAATCTTTACTAAACCTTAACCCCCAAAATTAATTTAGGCTCCCTCTAATTCTTCCAACCTTTAGTTTCTTCTTAAGTCTAGTTTTTCCAACCTTTAGTTTCTTCTTTGGTCTAGAGGAGAGAGAGTGGGCTACCTAAGGTTTTGGAGAGAGAAAGTTAGAGAGAGAAATATAAAGGAGAGAGAGTGAGAGAGAGGAGAGGTTGTGTAGAGATGGGGGGAGAGCACCCATATTTATAGTGAATATTTAGGTTTAGGGTTTCTTATGGTTTTCTCATAGTTTGCCTCTTTCATGAGATTAAATCTAGACCGTTGATCAATGTGACTTGTGGGGTGAGAGATCTGAGTCATCCATTCCATAGATGGGTCATTAACATTATCGAAGGTGCTTGGACCATTATTTCCCTGTCCTTAAACCATTTTCCCATCAATATATTTAAATAAAATAAATATCACGTATTCCATAAAATTGCATGATCCATGTGACATATTCCATAAAGATATGTCAAATATTATCAAGTAAATAAATACAACCAAATATAAATAAGACAAAGTCAATATTTACTATCTATTCAATTTGACCATATCCCTTTAAAGAAAACTTGCTATAAAACAAATAAAGCCATGGTCAATATTTCCCTTCCAAGATTTGACCACATGCCACAAAATAAAGTTACCATAATGTAAAGACTTGAACACAAAGCAAACAAAGAATCCAAAGGGTGGGGCGTGCCACCCCTTTGTGGCACATGTGGGCCCCCACCCACATGCTACATGGTAGGCCCATCTGCACTTTGCGCCCCTATGAAATTTTATAAAAAGTTTTAAAATTACCTAAAACGAATTAATATATATTTGAATTTTTACACCTTTGTAAAATCAATAACTACATGTTTATAAGTCCAACAATACATAATTAAAATATTAGAG